ATTCGAGTGAATATTCAATAAAACCAGGATATTTTCATTCCCACCATAGATGTTCGGGTGAATATTTAAGAAAACCAGGAAATATTCACATCCACCATAGAGACAAGGGTGAATCTTTAATAAAACCAGGATATTTTCATACCCACCATAGAGATTCGAGTAAATATTCAATAAAACCAGGATATTTTCATACCCACCGTAGAGACTCGAGTGAATATTCAATAAAACCAGGATATTTTCATACCCACCATAGAGACAAGGGTGAATATTTAATAAAACCAGGATATTTTTATACCCACCATAGAGACTCGAGTGAATATTCAATAAAACCAGGATATTTTCATTCCCACCATAGATGTTCGGGTGAATATTTAAGAAAACCAGGAAATATTCACATCCACCATAGAGACAAGGGTGAATATTTAATAAAAAGAGGATATTTTTATACTCGCCATAGAGACAAGGGTGAATATTTAATAAAAACAGGATATTTTCATACTCGCCATAGAGACAAGGGTGAATATTTAAAAAAAAACAGGATATTTTCATACTCGCCATAGAGAATCCAGTGAATATTCAGTAAAACCAGGATATTTTCATACCCACCGTAGAGACTCGAGTGAATATTTAATAAATCCAGGATATTTTCATACCCACCATAGAGATTCGAGTGAATATTCAATAAAACCAGGATATTTTCATACCCACCATAGAGACTCGAGTGAATATTTAATAAAACCAGGATATTTTCATACCCACCATAGAGACTCGAGTGAATATTCAATAAAACCAGGATATTTTCATACCCACCATAGAGACAAGGGTGAATATTTAATAAAACCAGGATATTTTTATACCCACCATAGAGACTCGAGTGAATATTCAATGAAACCAGGATATTTTCATACCCACCATAGAGACTCCAGTGAATATTTAATAAAACCAAGATATTTTCATTCCCACCATAGATGTTCGGGTGAATATTTAAGAAAACCAGGAAATATTCACATCCACCATAGAGACAAGGGTGAATATTTAATAAAAACAGGATATTTTTATACTCGCCATAGAGACAAGGGTGAATATTTAATAAAACCAGGATATTTTCATACTCGCCATAGAGACAAGGGTGAATATTTAAAAAAAAACAGGATATTTTCATACTCGCCATAGAGAATCCAGTGAATATTCAGTAAAACCAGGATATTTTCATACCCACCATAGAGACAGGATATTTTCATACTCGCCATAGAGACGAGTGAATATTTAATAAATCCAGGATATTTTCATACCCATAGAGACTCCAGTGAATATTTAAAACCAGGATATTTTCATACCCACCATAGAGATTCGAGTGAATATTCAATAAAACCAGGATATTTTCATACCCACCATAGAGACTCGAGTGAATATTTAATAAAACCAGGATATTTTCATACCCACCATAGAGACTCGAGTGAATATTCAATAAAACCAGGATATTTTCATACCTACCATTTTGACTCGATTTAATATTTAAGAAAACCAGGATATTTTCATACCCATCATAGAGACTCGAGTGAATTTTCAATAAAACCGGGATATTTTCATACCCACCATAGAGATTCGAGTGTCGGGAAATCCATGCAAACCGATCCCACACAGCTTGGTTGACTGGTGTATTTCGTCTCAAGCAACGTCTTAATCTCTCGACTTTGTGGTCTATATCCGTGTCCATGTCAGACAGGAAATAACGGTTCCTAACCAACTAAGCTCTTTCCCTTGCTTCGATGGCTAAAAGTAAACACATTTCAGGACAAGTGAATGACACCGCTTTGAGAGTACCACCTGTTTGGTTTCCTGACCATTAAAAGGACTGTTTTTATACAAAGCTACATCATATAACCTTAGCCGACCCCTAGAGTGTTCTGGGCATCTTCATTGTACGACTTATAGTATAGTTAAATCCACCTTATTCTCTTGACCTCCAATACACTAGCAAGATCCACATTTTCCACTTTCTGTTTCTTCCAATATGTTGTACAAAGTTTAATGGATGAAAGCAAAACATCACTGGCCACTGGAAATCAAATGGATGTATTTTTCACAGAAATCATGAGATTGCCGTTCTTTCAATATTTATTTTATTATCATGAAACTTCATTCTAGAACTTTCATTCAATTCTCAATGATTGTACAGAATAGCACAAAGCAAATTCCCTTGTCAATAACAATGCCCGATACAATATTGTTATTTTCAATATACATGTAATTGTAAAATCATAATTACTTGTATAAACGTGATCCGATGAATTGTATCACGTGATATAACACATATCACGTGATATAACACATATCACGTGATATAACCCAGAATACACTTATGATTGATTGCATGTTTAATTCGTGTTTAAATTTTATTCACCGCACTTTCTGGTTCCTGAGGATGTTTTTTTCTTTCTTTCTTTTTCATAAATCGAAGAAAATTGAAGAAAGATGTCTCAGCATTGAATGTCCAGTTGCACATGTTTGTGTTATATTGAAACACGCGTCACATTGTTTTCCGGATCGAGGTACTTATTCAAGTTTTTGTGGTTTTTTTCACACTTTTTTTTATCATATTGAAAAATTTTAAAAACAAAACTCATAGTTTTAAGTGGTTTGTATTCGTCTTACAACAATATGCTAGCCAAATTCTAATATTGATTAAATAATATTTTAAAAAGTTTGTGTTTATAGCATGCTTTCAAATCAGTCAAAAGAACAACTGAATAAATGAATGAATGAATGAATACTATTGATGGGGAAACTTCTCAATCTCTTACACCCATGAAATATGTTGGTAAATGCAGAATTGTGATATTTATATAAAGGAAAGTTAAATATTCTACCATGAAAAAATGTTGATAATGCAAGTATTTATTTAATTGATATGTTAACAACACAAAAAACGTCTCTTGTTTTGACAGTGTCCGGTTTGGTAGGGCTCCCCCTAACCACTGGACATTGAAACGGCGGAGTGTTTGTTTTTGTAAATTTTTTGTTTATATCAGACCTTGAGATTGACAGTTTTTTATGGTCCCAAGGGAGATAACGAAGAATGAAAGGAGTGTGTAAGAGGATGAAAGTAAACATATGTCGAGTGAAAGTCCTCTTGTATGAGGACACATAATGTTAACTTTTCATTTGCCTTTGGTTAAATAGATATTTTTTCTCTGGTAAAAAAGGCATGCATTCAACTTGGTAAAATTGGAATAACAAATAAACATCAGAAATGTGTCATACTGATCATAAAACGCAGTATCTATACGTTCTTGTGCTGTAAATACATGGCGAGGTCATGTCGACATACTTTGGAAAAATTATCTGATGTATGAAAATTACGAAATTTATCTAGTTACGGGGCTGCTGCACCTCCCCCTCTAGATTTTGACTTTTCTTTTGATCACTTTGGATTTTCCTTAGTCGCCCTTAGGCTTCAACATCTAGGCCCTTAGCATCACCGGCGAGTCCTAGAAGGACGCAAAAGCTTCATGATGCAGTTTAATTCATTATAAAAATGTGCTATTCACTTGTATGTCTTTTGTACAATCTTGATAAAGATTCTGCATATAATAAAGAGACAGCTCCATCCAGGTCTTAACACATTTGAAGTCGGCGCTATTTCGAATTTCGAATTCGTTTCTGAACGTTGATTTCAGTACTCTTCATATATTTTCAATGGGATTTAAATCCGGACTTGGTGCTTGCAAAGGAAATGTCGGAATGTTGTCCGTTTTCCACCGTCGCGGAAACATGACATGGAGCATTGTCTTGCAGGTATTTTCGGCGTTAAATTAGAAAATTTCAAGCTATCACAGGCCAGGAATGTTCATCCAGAATTGAAATGTATTTGTCAGTGTTCATGTTATCATCGACAGGTATAATGGTTTCCACACCATTGTAGCAAATACACCTCCAAAACGGGACCCAGTTGGCCTTGGAAAACGGACCTTCACCTGTGTTCTTCAGCAAAGAGACGTTGCCGCACGGTTCTTGTAGATAAATTAGACCTGTATGAGCGTTAAAACGAGTTATCAAGTTTTGTAAAGCCTGCCAACGATTTGTCTTTCCCATCCGAAGAGGAGTCTGTCACCGCGGCATGATGATAATTTCGGTCTTGCACTTCGCGGTTTATTTTCTGAGCTCTCTCGATCTTTTCTCCGTGTAAGAAATTTCTGAATTGTTCTGGAATTTATTCCAGTTATCAATTTTATATGACGAATTACCTTCGTTTGACAGGTTTCCTATGATTTCTTTTACATCTGGATTCATCTCGGCTCCAAGGCGACCAATAGTTAAGCAGACGACCAAAACATGTAACAAAGGAAATAATTCTCAAACTTGTTTTTGTCATAGTGAATGTTAGTGTTAATGCTAATGTGATCGGGCATCACAGATTCGAAAACGGCACCTGCTTGGCACAACATCAACATAAAGCCTGCAGCGAACATTTTTTGGCAGCGTCAGAAAATCGCGACACCAGTAAGCGTTAAACTAACTCTGATCGACCTTAATACTGCTGTAGAAACCAAAGACCGAAACAATTCATTCATTTGTTTCGTCCTACGACTTGTCAGAGATGCTGATGGCCTAAATTTTGAAGCCTAATTGTCGACTGAGAAAAATATGGAGCATTCGAAAGAAATGTCAAAATTACTCCATAATTCAAGAATATTCATAATTTAAAAAGTTAGTCTAATCGTGTAATTCAAATATTTCAATGAAAGTATAACTTTCCTGAAAGAAATTCACTGCGAATTAACTGTGTTCCTGTAATCGGAAGGTAACAAAATTTCGAGACTAACCAATCTGATCGCGATCGAGCCGAACTTAAAGAGACAAAATATTAAACTACAGCAGAAAGTTTTTGTTCAGACTTCAGACTCGGGTGGCTTTACAGGAATTTTTTACAAAAGTATTTTATTTATTAGTCAATCTCTGAGACTGATGAAGAATTGATTTTTCTACTCCTTTAACAGTCCTTACTGATAATGCCAACTTCGATGCCAGCTTTGTTGATATTGATGGCATACTCTACGGTATGTATCCTCTGTACAAAACGTACGATGAAGCTGACGACTTCTGCAAATCATTGTCTGGAAGATTGGCAGCACTGGATACACAGAAAAAATATGACATCGTAACTAATGTAGTAATGAAGACTACAGGTAATATATTTCGTCAAAGTAATGTCATTGACAAAAATTCTATTTCTTCGTACAATATGAAGCTAGACGTATCAGCTGCTTGTTGGTTTATCTGTTGGTTCCATTGTTGTATACCTTCTTCACACTTGAGAACTTGACACCAATTACTTGGGCTGACATTTAATAGCATTTAATAGCATAAATAATGGACGCAGGCTTCACATCCTCTATGTCCATATCATGTACATTAGAAAGCATAATAAAATAGATTTAACTTCCAGTTTAACGGCTACAAAGTACAAATTTTAATCACAGATTTAGCACTGACAACTTTTGTGGTGAACTATTATATAAGTCAATTACTCGCTGACTGAAAAAATGCTTCCGTCTGTCAAGACGACATCGTTTTTTGAAGATTTTCTTATCATGACCTCTGGTTATACTATTTTTGTCCATTTGGAAGAAGTTTATTGTTACTCTACAATCATATATATTAATTATTGATTGTAGAGTAATCATTGCGAGTGTCGATGAAGCAAAAGACGCTTACCCTTCTAGAACACTTTGTCTTTTTCTCCTTGTTCTTTTTCGGGAGCCTTTCTTTTTGCCTTAGTTTAAATTTTGATTAAATCACATGTTGGGATGTTCTTTTCTTATACATACTGTATAGCTGGTAATTACCAAGGGTCAAATTTTTTCTCGGCTTCCATTTAAACCGATCGGGTTATATTTAAACAAATTAAATTTCGCGATTAAAATGACATTTAATACACACAAATATCGAAAGTACCATCCCCGAGAAAATGACTAACTACACGGTAATCAGTTCTGTAAATATCAATATTGTTGAGAATCGGTCTATATCGCACATACTTAAAATCTAACGCACGCACGCTGATGATGATTTCAATATTATCACTACTTTTTAAGATCTACAAAAATAAATTAAGGATTTATACCATATAGGGTCAAACTTCGATGCACAATGTATCCATTCATAAAAAACACGGTTAAGTCGAACCGTCGGATAAGTCGAACATTTCATTTGGTCCCGTCGACTTCGACTTATCCAGTTTTTACTGTACATTCGTATACTAAGAAGAATGGTGTATGGACAAAGTTGTTTCCTTGCATATCGACAAAATTATTGTTCAGTCATACATAAAAATTAAGAGATTTCTTAATTATTTGTAAATAAAGTTTTTGAAATTGCCATTTCATGCACTTCATGAAACAGGTGGATGCAATTTAATCGTCTGAACGTATTGAAGTGGTCAATGATCGGTGTCAGTGTTGGCTCTGATGACGGTTCATGGTTGTGTTGACCATTGCAGAAGTATTGAAAATAATCTTAAAAGCTTCATTGTGAGGTTTTAATGATAAAAGAACATACCTATAACGTTGTGTATGTGTCAGTATTCCTCAATCTGTCTACATTAATCTTGGTTATGAGTAATTGCCATGTTACAGAAAGTGCTTGGAGAATCGGGGCTTCCCAAAATGCTAATGGTACCTGGAGTTGGAGCAGTGGCCTTCCCGCGTACCTTTCAGTCGTGAACGAGTACACACCGTGTGCTGCTATATATGACGGTAAATTGGATGATCATGAGTGCAGCCTGGCTTGTCCTTTCGTGTGTGAAATACTCTGAAGATTTGACGTAAGCGATCCTTTATGTTACTACGAATACGACAAGAAATCTCGTGGTATTCATAAATTGAAAATTAATAAGGTAAGGCAATACTTCAAATCAACATTCGTCTTCTACCAAAACAATATGATTTGTTTGACAAAAGAAGATAACTTTTCTCTATACGAAGACTAAACAAAACCTGACTATCGCTAATTATGAGATATCTTCATAGGCCTTTTCAAGGATACAACAACAGCAAAAGTGATGACAACATGTGTCTAGAATCATATATATGACACAGATGTATACAACATTTGTCGTGCATGGATATTAATTAGCTGAGTTTTGAGGATCACGTGTTTACTGAATTCACGAGAACAATTCATCACCAAAGATACAAAGAAAAACAAAGTTCACAAAAAGGGTCAATCATAATTGTATTAACGTTTAGGAGTACATAGGCTGCATTTGACCTGACTAAGTCCTATTCACACTATAAACACTTTTCGTCAAGGCATTAATTTCAACATTGTCACTGTTGCATTTTGTCGTGTTTATGGGCACTGTGCGTGCCTTCACGGCCTGTATTGTGATATATCTCGTAGTCATTTTAAATTTGTGCCTATAGAATTTGTTACCATTAATTCTCACGAACCACGTAAGAAACTTCCTGGGGCAGGCGAATACCTTCTAAGAAAAATCCGTTACAGAGTTTTAAGGATATAATGTGGGTTTTTTTATCTTGTAAAACATGTTCAATATGATCGCTGCTCGTCAAAATAAGTACAGTTTATTGATACAAACGAAAATTAGACAAAGTACAGTTTATTGATATAATAAGCTGCATCATATACAGCCCTTATGTTCCATGAGGATGCTTAGAATCATATGCAGGTTATCGATCCCTGATACAATTATCTTAGGTCTGAGAAGTGTGGAATATTTCCCTTTAATTGTGAAGACAGCTGATACCATAGATAGTATTCATATTGATTTGATAGTTAGTGTTGGTATTGGTTATAAAGATATATTGAACTTACTTTGGATGATGAAACCAATTAATTTATTACAAATGTAGATATTTATATTGTTGTACCTGTAACGTTGTATTGTTTTTGTATATAGGATGTTACAAATTAACCCTATTGTTAGGTAACAGTTATATATTTATATTAGTCATTAGTGTAGTGAGACTAGCTTCTAGATAAAATAACTGTTTATCAACGCGGTACTGACGGCACAGTTTATATGTTAACACTGCACATAACATGTGCAGTTAATTGCTTATAAATCAAAAGCAGGCTGTGTTGATAAAATTATGTGTTTCAGTCTTGATTATTAGAAACAAAATATATGTCAAGTATGAACAAATCATTGGCTTCAGAATGTCTTGAATTAAATTCAAAATTGGGAATAATTTAACAGCCTTTGTCACCGCATGTTATCGATCAAATCGATCAAATGTGACAGTCAGTAGGCCTTGTAATTTACACATAAGCTAGTACGGTCACACTTTACTGCGTCACTGGACTGCGTGTGATACATTACAAGACGGATGTTACTAGGCCTATGTACGTCAAATCCCTCATACGATCACGGTATTGAGCAGTAGTCCAGGACAGATGAGAAGGTGTTGTTTCTCATATTTATTATATTTCGGAGATAAAATTATTCATCAAGAATCGGAGGATTTTTTTTCCTCCTCCGCAAAATCTGTGGCTCTGTATAACGTCACATACACAATTCTATTCTGCAATTAAAATTAAAATATGCATTGATGTAGCCCCAAGAGGTTAGAGGATGTTATAAGTTATGGTAACCCCTAGAAGTGATGGTAACCAATAGAAATTAGAGGATGTTGTGGGTGATGGTAACCCCTTGAAGTTAGAGGATGTTATAAGTGATGGTAACCCCTAGAAGTTAGAGGATGTTATAAGATATGGTAACCCCTAGAAGTTAGAGGATGTTATAAGATATGGTTCACAGTAATTACAAGTAAATATATCAGGTATTTGCATGGTTCACAGTAATTACATGTGAATATATCAGGTATTTACATGGTTCACAGTAATTACAAGTAAATATATCAGGTATTTGCATGGTTCACAGTAATTACATGTGAATATAGGTATTTATGGTTCACAGTAATTACAAGTAAATATATCAGGTATTTACATGGTTCACAGTAATTACATGTGAATATATCAGGTATTTACATGGTTCACAGTAATTACAAGTGAATATATCAGGTATTTACATGGTTCACAGTAATTACATGTGAATATATCGGGTATTTACATGGTTCACAGTAATTACATGTGAATATATCAGGTATTTACATGGTTCACAGTAATTACAAGTAAATATATCAGGTATTTACATGGTTCACGGTAATTACAAGTGAATATATCAGGTATTTACATGGTTCAGTAATTACAAGTAAATATATTACAAGTGAATATAATATATCAGAAATCACATGTGAATATATCAGGTATTTACATGGTTCACAGTAATTACATGTGAATATATCAGGTATTTACATGGTTCACAGTAATTACATGTGAATATATATATACATGGTTCACAGTAATTACATGTGAATATATCAGGTATTTACATGGTTCACAGTAATTACATGTGAATATATCAGGTATTTACATGGTTCACAGTAATTACAAGTAAATATATCAGGTATTTACATGGTTCACGGTAATTACAAGTGAATATATCAGGTATTTACATGGTTCACAGAAATCACATGTTGATATATCAGGTATTTAAATGGTCATACATAAATTTCATGTTTTTACAAGATGAGTTTAGATGTTTAATCAGTAACTACATGTTTATTTATCAGGTATTTACATGGTTACACAGCAACTGCATGTTAATACATCAGGTATTTGAATGGTTATACATTAATTTCATGTTGTTACAAGATGTATTTGGATATTTAAACAGTAATTACATGTTGAAACATCAGGTAATTAATTTGTTATCCAGTAATTGCAAGTTGATTTATGTTATATCAAATGGTTTTACAGTAATTTCATGTTTATTCATCCAATATTTACATGGTTATCCAGTAATAACATGCTGATATAGGAGGTACTCACATGATAACACAGTTACAGTAATCACATGTTTATACATCAGGTATTTACATGGCTCTAATAGTAATGACATGTTTAAATATCAGTTATTACAGAGTAATTACATGTTTTCTTATATCAGATATTTACATGGTTACATAGTAGTTACATGTTTATACATCAAGTATTTATTGGTTAAACAGTAATTATATGTTTATACATTAGGTATTTACATGGCTGCATTGTAATTGTGTGTTAAAACACCAGGTATTTACTTGGTTACACAGTAATTTATATGTTTATCGACATATAGTGTGTAGTATACCGATAAGATATTTTTGTACATGTATTGTCATTTTGATCTATGCAATGAATTTGCATATTTTTGTACATAGTTCCTGTTGCTGTATGTGTTTATTTTTTACATGTGTATTTTTACTTGTGTGCCTGTATGAATACTTCTGTAAATTGTCCTTATCAGTGTATAGGGTATGCATGTGTGTGTGGTTTCGTGTAAGTGTGTCTGTGTGCAAGTCTGGTAATATTTCCACTTTCTGTAATATTTTCATGTCTAGATGGAATCATATTATTGTACATAGAAATTCATTTTAAAGAAAGCTATATTCACTTAGTGACTACAGAAGTTTCATATTGTTTTATAGAATTATTCTATAACAAATCTAGGTACTTCACCATTTTCTATTTTTCCTCTCCATCAATCCTATTATGACATTCCACATAAGAATACTTAGGTGTTTTGTTTATGTGTCCTTTCTCTATATTTTCTTCTTTCTCACCTTTCACCATTCCTGTCACGACCTATATATATCATCCCTTAAGACTGAGTGTTTTGACAATTACATGTTTAATTTAACTGTGGTTTATTTGACCGATGGCCTCTCGATGTTTAAGTTATTGTTTGACGATCAAGGGTAATGATCTAGCCCAGTATCGGGCGGCTATCGGTTGTTTCTATCTTCGTATCACCGGTATACCTATTTCACAAAAGTTTTTCATCTATATAAATATGTTTAAGTGTTTTAATGACTTCAGGTTTAGAGTGATATTTATCTTAACAAGATTGTGCTGTTTCTTTCATGTCCTTCTTTCTTGTATAACTGATAATTCATGTTTCCTGATAATACTGCATCTCCTTCTACTAGTCTGTAATGATATCCATCCTAACCCTGGCCCCTCTGAAAATAACGATGTATCTATCTTTCACCTTAACATCCGTAGTTTGAGGAATAAATTATCTCAAGTAGAAAATTTGACATCTGATTTTGATATTGTCTGTGTCACTGAGACTCACCTTGATACATCTATAGCGGATGCTGACGTACTCTTAGATGGTTATGAATTATACCGTAAGGATAGGGGATCTCCGGGTGGGGGTATAGCTGTATACACATCCAGGCTCTTGTGCACCCGTCGTAGAGCTGATTTAGAATTTCGGGTGGGTGAAGTTATTTGGACGGAGATCCAGTTTCCAAGGAAGAAATACTTGTTGTGTACTTTATATAGACCTCCGAATATCTCACACGCCTTTTGGAATCACTTTCGACTTTCTCTAGAATCCGCTTTTCATGAAACTACGCATATAGTTGTTGTTGGTGACATTAACGTTGATCTCCTGACCATAGAAAACACACATGCACTTACTGACATTGTTCACTCTTTTCACCTGACCAACGTTATAGACAGCCCGACACGCATTGGACGCACGACTGCTACACTACTTGACCCAATTTTTCTCTCCGACACGTGTATTTCTAATTTTTCTGACGTAATTGACATAGATAACGGCCTTTCTGACCATAAAGCGACATCTGTTGAACTGACTGTTGAGACTGCTGTTAAAAGGGCATATGAACGCAAAATTACTTGTTATAGAGAAGCAAATTTTGAACTTTTTAATGACAA